AATGTGACACGACACATCTTATTCTTCCAAAGAGATAAAAGACTTTGAGTGGCAAATTTATTATGTATTCTAAGTGGCAAAAACTCCTAGTTGACACATTAAGTAAAATATTGGAACCAAAGATGATTCATAGAAACACATACTTCCTGTTAGCACCCGTACAGTGGCATTGCTACTCTCCTGAATTGTCCTGATCGCTTCACCTTTCTTTCCAATCAAATTCACAGCTTGTGATGCAGCCACCAACAACCGAACTGAACATGTACCAGGTGCAGCAGATCCCAAATTTGTGCCATCAACTGCGATATCTGAAATACCATTAACACGTTTGAATATTCTCACCACAGCATCCATAGCAGGAGATATCTCGGCTTCTGGTTCTTCTTTTCCCGATATCAGAACCTGAACATGAGAAATAAAAACATGCCACTTACTTTCCAGCAATCCATGGCAACATGAAAAATAATCACCAAATAACCAATACAAGTATATAATCCTAGAAAAAAACATAGATATTAAACAATAAACATTTTTAAACTAAAATGAAGTCCAAAACTTTATCAAAATTCACAGCTGCTGTTCTCCATTATTTGAAGAGATTCGGCTTTCACAACACTCAAAACTGCTTCTGCAGTGCTTCATGGAGTTTGTGAGAAATGAACAATTTTCAGGCAGAGGAAATACTTGATACAAAAAGGTATCAGATTTAAGAACAACATCCTATAGGTATTGAGATGTATCATTTCTAATGAAAATGGAAGGAGCTCCATGATTTCTCAACAATGTACTGACAGATAAACATCAATATATGAAGTCTCTTTCTTTAGAAGAACTTTCTAGGTCTAAGACAAATAGTTGCAATATGCCTATACTGCTCCAGTGTACCAATTTAAACTCCTTGTGCTATACAAAGCCCTGCCTCATATGATCAATCCACTAACAATGTGATGACATGGAATCTTGCATTTTGTTAGCAATCTTATCATAATAGCTCAAATTTAAGCTAGTTCTCAGGATAGGTTTGATGTTAATAATTATATTTTGTACAGAAATGCAACTATAATACCAATGATGTACACGCAAATACATTATGTATGTAGAGGACAGAGGAGCCAGATTTGGAAGTTCTTGACCTCCATGTATGTCTACCACCAGGCCACCAAGGGCTACATACTAATATTATGGCCATGTAAAATAGTTTAAGTCAAGAAGCAAGAAGCATGATTCTGCATCTTGTTTACCCCTGCATCGTAAGCAAATAACCGGGAGCATCTATCTTAACTGGTTGCAAGACACTGAACCATCTAACTTGAGGTTCGTACCTCCAACTATCGGCTTGTAAATCTCCCGATCAATCCGAGAAAAAACGATGCGATCGTTCACGCCTAGAACCATCAAAACTAACTTGAGGTTCTTGGCAAAATCTAAGGAGTTCAAAGACTCTAGAATAACAAAACCATTGATCAAAAGAAAGAAAACATCGCCTAAAGAAACCCTAAATTGAAAGGGGGAACAAGAACTAACAATGCGATCATTCACGCCGATAGGCCCTTCAAGAATCCGAACGCGAGCCTTGGTCTCCTCACAGAGCTTTTTGATAAGCTCCCCCTTGCGGCCAATGATGCTCCCCACCTTCAGCAAGGGCACGATGAGGCGGAACACGTTGTCGCCTGGCCACCCCGGCCACTTCTTGACCTCCAGACCGCCGCCCCCTTGGACCGAAGCGCCCGCCTCAGGAGGAGCCTCGTCTCGCGCTGGCTCCTCCTCAGCGGCGGCTTCCGCTGCCTCCTCGGCGCCGACGTCGGCGTCGGCGTCGTTCTGCTCGGTCTCGACCTCGGCAGTGGGTGAGGAAGGGGCCTCGGCCATGGGCTCGGCGTCGGCTGGGGTTTCGTTTCCGGCGGTGTAGTCAGGCACCGCCGCCATAGTTGGAAGTGAGAGGGATCGGCGGAGTAAGGGTTCTTCGAGCGGCGGGTAGAGACGTTGTTGTTGCGTTGTTCGATCTCTGTGCAAGAGAGGCCAACCGTGTCCAACCTTAATAGAACGGGTCGGATTCGCGGCGCGGAGGCGGTGTTGTTGAGTTGTTCGATCTCGGCGCAAGCAGCATTCGCACGTGTAGGGCAGGTCCGAGCACGTGAGACGAAGAGAACGGGTCGGATTCGCGGCATGGAAAGGTTTAGGTGTGATAAGATGTTTCATTTTCAACGATCAATTCAATATATTGTGAAAGATGTTCATATTCTTGTTATTATTTTTTATTTATATTCCTAAAAAAATAAATCCACTCTAATACTTAATAAATTAAATAGATGTACTAAGATATGAAAGCTTGCTGTAAAAACTTTTTTTTCATTGTTTCATGTACTAGTATAAGTTATTTATGTGGTCTATTAATATATTTTTTTACTTATTTATCTAATTTTCTATGATAAATTTAATAATTAGATTGATCTAATAATAACTTGGGTTCCTCCCTTTATACAATTATTATTGGAAAACATAGAGAGAGCATCACATGCGCAACGGAAGAATAGAAAAATAAAATCTCAGATTTTTCAAAAAAAAAACGTTCTAAATCTTTAAGAGTTGTTACCTAAGGAGATTTGTTATCCCTATAAAATCCTAAATCCTATATATGTGTCGAGGGAGATTTATTACCTAAGGAGATCATATATCCCTATAAAATCCTAAATCTTTAAAAGTGGATGAAAGAGGTCAACTATCCTCCTCTCTAGTGGTAGATGCATGATCTTCCTTTCCATGTGCACCATGTGATCAAGAAGGGGTCAGCCCTTCTTATTATCCACAGGCGCCATATTAGGACTGTCGACTGAGGAGGAGAGGGAGGGAGGAGAATAAGAGATGGCAACCAAAAAGGTCTGTCTCTTTACTTCCTTCATATTTATGGAGGTCCTTATCAATTTAACCCTAATTGATCCTACCTTATTGGGTATTGTATCTTCATCAAACTACATAAACCTCTTAGATTAGTAGATCTCTACATAATAATCTCTCATTAGCTCTTATTGAATCTTATCCATAAAATCTAATAATTCAAGGGTTTATTGGATATCCAATAAGATAAGGGTTCTAACGGATATCTCATATTTGAACCTCCACTCGCAACACCTATCATATGTATGTGACCCTCTAGGCCCAATATCGAGCTGACCGTGAGTCATACTTGTCAGAACTCCTTCTAACTCAGTGAATTATTATCTCCATAATAATTCACTCGACTCATCGACTACGGACGTACTATGCCACTACGACGTACTCCCTAAACGATATAGGAGAATCTAATCCATCAGACCAATTTATCTTTAATTATTATATATATATAGTCTCTCGTTTATCTAATATTCAAAAGATCATATATTGGGTATGGTTCTGTTAAACCCAAACGGAATCTACTAGAGTCTCACTCTAATCGGATTCTCCCATAAATTTTTTTTTCTCTCAATTTTGAATGACCTTAGCTAGGGATTTGCTTAAGCAAGAATACATAGAATATTCTTTTTGTGATATTGAGAGTGGATGATCCTCTATTGATACTCAATTGCCCTCGTAAGGTTGGTTATCACTCTCAATGATCGATTATGTTAGATCTGGAACCTCCAAACCTATAAGTCTGATATTAAAGAGCGGAACACTAATATAAGATATCTTTGGTATCTCAAGTCCAAGGACCAGACTAGTGATATCCTTGGTATCTCATACCATATTAAATAGCGGAACACTCATACAGATGAGATATCATTAATCATCTAACATTTTCCAATGAGCACTTGCATTGTATCCATAGTATCTCCACATGGGCAACTATCAAACCAGTTACCTCCATTATATGGACAGGTATATAGCACATCAGTCTATCTAGTTATCTCGATATCCCTGTTAAATAACCTACGACCGAGATTATTTAAAGTATGTATTTAAAGGTGAATCGATCTCATTATCGTGATCTCATCATCATATGATTCTCATTGCACAGATCCACGAACATCATAATATACGAAACATGCAACAAAAAGTTAAAAAATATCATCGTATAGATAGGTTATACTATATATTAACGGTAGAAAGTTAAAAAATATCATTTAGATAGGTTATGCTATATATTAACGCGTGACCTTTTCGATCAGCATGTAAGATTAGGCCTTTTCGATCTGGCTTTTTCCGTCAGCATGGACTCACCTTTATCGATTAAGATGCCTTGTTTAAGTCAGCTTGGAAGGTACTTCAGATTATATGTAAATTAAAGATGATGGATCAACTAACATAACCTACCCATCTCTCTTTCTTTTTCTTTTTTTGTTCTTTCATTCTCTCCGATCTCTAATTAACCTTTGGTGCCTTCCCCTCCTCTCACTACAAGATTCAGAGGTGAAATAGTGGGCTAAAGATAGCAAAAGGGGTTTGCTGCCCCTAACGAAAGACTAAGGGGTGATCGGATCGAGGTGAAATTGAAATTGGTATGTAGAACAAACAAGAATGTAGATGTCATCTTCATATTGATATAGACCTCTTCTGGATAAAGAAAATGTTCCCTGAGATGGGTGAATAGGAAAGAAAGTTGTTAAATGGAGGAGACACCTCTTCTTTCTTTGATTAAAAATCTGGCCAGATGCCGCCTGATTTGATCTCCTGAGCTTTACGTGCTTGCTTTCCCCATAGGGAAAAGAGAGACAACTCAACGACGTATCTATCTTTCAGAATCCCCTCCCTCCCCAACCTCCTCTTTTAGTAAACGCCATCGTGCAAACAGTATCATGCAGCTGCTTTTGGAGGTCTCATTCAGTAGCACACACGACATGCGATGCTCAGATCCGTGTATAAATAAATCTAGCTTCCTTGATTGGAGCCCAGTGTCATTATTGGAGAAGGAGTTCAGATTATATCTTTTTGCTCTCTACTGCCCACCCTTTCTTCATTGAACTACCTACTAATGCGTGTAAATCTAAATGATCGTGAAGAATTCAATTCAACGAACAAGGCAGACGTTTTCAAGAGCAATTGCAATAGGAGGGAAATACTAGAATGGTAGGATATATACAATTTTGCTAGAGCTGAAAAGATAAGACATTTAATCGAATGGATCGATCCGTGGGTCATGCTCACTGGCCATAGCCATCCCTGTGCAGAGGCACGTCGGACACATAACCTGCAATGAAGACAAACAGTATGAGTTCCCATAATTGTCGAAAGTTAGAAGCCAGATTGATGAACAATGAGGAATGCTTCCTAAACGAATCGCTATCACAGATTGAATGTGCATGCTTTAAATCACAGCAGTAGATCGTTATGCCACGACAAGAAAAGATTGTTGGCTGATCGCATTCTATATACTATGCATACCATATCATCAGTCAGGATTTATACCAAATGACGTACATCTCACAGACAATCCTATGCTTAGGAAGAGGCTTATACTATAAAGAATTATTTATTAGATAATGTGGTCTGATAACTGTACTAAACAGGCACAAAGAGAAAGATATTCATATTTCTGGTAGTTTGTTAGTTGCAAAATCAGTGAATTATATTGGTTCACAGACTGTGCACACTGCCAGATCCACAAAACTATCGATATTTGGATGGTCATATCTCACCTTCCCTGAACCTGAACAATTTGAGCACCTTTCTGTTCGAGGTGGTGATAAAGGCTGATCACTGCCATTGATAGTGGCAACAGGCTCAGTCAAGACAAGAGTTCCTGTACTTGAACAGCGAGCACAAGCCAGATATCCTGCATGTGAGTGATATGAACAAAATTATCATACATTAGCAAGTGTGTTCGAGAATCACACAGATACGAAAGCTGTATTTCTAGGATATGGAAGCTATTTTCGTATGGAAATTGTATTCCTGTAATATGGACACCCTATATCTGTATGACTGTATTCCTACTTAGAATATAGCTGTGTTCCTATATAATTATATTCATAAATAGTTGTATTCCTAATTTAAATAGGGTAGTCCTCTACGATTTACATATATATAGTTCTATTCCTAATATATTAGGAAAGTTGTAGATTCTTAACATAATATGATAATTGTATTTTATTTCTTTGGGATTTAGATCCTTGTAAATTTGCAAGTTCATTCACGATGAATGAATGCATGTAGACTCGTACAACTCTTGACAATGGATATCTCGACCCTTGAGTCGAGAGCCAATGAAGAATGTAATTACTCATTCTACAAAGTGAAATATAGGAAGATTTGAATAACAGCCTTTCAGAAAAAAAAAAAAAAAATCAATGCAAAATCATAACAAGGCACCCTCAATCCTTACATTTAAATGTAGCTTGTTCAGTTATGCTAAAATGAAAATTCATTTGATTTTAGTATTGTTAAAGATGCCAAGCGTTAAAAGATGCCAAGGTTCCAAAACAGGTGCTCTCTAGTAGAAAAAGGATAACAAAATATAGCTTTAACATTACAAAAGAACAATAAGAGATTATTCATATTTACAATAATAATAAATAAATAAATTATATGTAATAAATGATATAAATTAATAAAATTTTCAATGCATGTAAAAGCTAAGGATCTTGAACATTACCCGTTCCTAAACAATATTTGCACCGCTTCTGCTCCTGTTGTTTGACATTGTTGATCTCAACCACCATTAAAGCTGAGATAACTCCCACTGCACCACCTGAGAAGGATGCTACTATTGGATCAACCTGACTACAAATCATCAAGTAAAAATCCAGTAAGAGATGAATATACAACCTAAAAAGATGGGCAAAGAAAGTGTATACTAGCATATATGCATTATCATAATTTGCTCAGGCAAAAAAAAAAAATGCTGATTAAAGATTATTCATGGCAAGAAGAGACTAGGAGCAAAAATATAGAAAAGATATTTCTATTGCATATCAAGAAACAATCAACACATCCATATCCTAAAGTTTTCGTTGTGTGTTAGAGACAGATTGGCATATTTCAAGAACATATCAAATAATAGAGGGAACGGCCCCACAACATCCTGTAGTAAACAACAATTAAAGTATATTTATAACATATTGTAAAATCAATCTATCCAAGTAACTGATAAAGCTCATCCAGCATGTTTCAGAAGATGATTTAATATAATGATAGTATGAACATGAACATTAAACTAATCACTAGACAGCCTATTATATCATAAACATAATATACCATTTTATCAAGATTACTGCATTTTCTGAAGTGGCATATGCTTTATTGTGCTTTAAGTTTTGACTTTGAGGCTTATTACTTGGCCAGAACAAGTTGGAAGTACTGTTCTACTTCGGTTCCAAAACTCCTGAATATGAACAATGACAGGAGTAGGAGAAAAACATATTTGGCTTTTTTATCGCTATTGAAAGAAAGAGGTTTGATGTTAAGATCAGATATAACAGAATTACAGACCATGATAGTAAACTTGATTGCTTCAATGTTGGAGGTGCTTGCTTTCCTTGGAACCAATTCCAAGATAAATACATATAAGAAGTCCAATTTAATAAGAAATCACTTGTCTGTGCCACTTCTATGGCAAAAAATAATCATATTAATGGAAACTCATAGTTCTCAACATTCTCAAAGGAACTCACGTGACATACCTACGCCAACCCAGTATAATTCACCTTTTATATCAAGTGTATTCACAGCTTAGACCGTACCTTAGTTGCATTGGCAAATGCATACTTCGTATAAAATCTGCATAAGATGTCCCCCCTAATCCCAACTTGAGCTCCAGCTGGCAAGGTGTTAAAAGTAAAAAAAAAAAAAAGTTACTAACATGATGTATTCCTATAACAGAAATAAAAGAATAAGACTATGGTGCAATTCATAACATAGAAAGAAATATGCAGTTGGTCATGATATTTGAGGCAAAATCTGGCATCATGAAACATTAGTTCCATTAAGGCACCCTATGACTGGTAAATAGTGCCTAGTGGTGACCCAGATTACCTATATTGAACTGTCTTGTATCCCGTAGCAAATTGCAGTACGGGCCAAGTTCAGAGTATAACTACAAAGGTCAGATTCCCCTTCTGCAAATAGCTTTTAATTCATGGACGGTCCATGTCTATCGAAGTCACATTCTCCGATCACACTACAATGAGGATTGTTGTTATAACACCTCGATTAATCCCACATTAGAAGTGGGCAAGATTAAAATTGACTTATAAAAGTCCAATGTGTACTACTATCAATTTCAGCTTAAGTATCTTGATCAGTAATTTAGGTCAAACAAAGTTGATAGGCCAGTTAGTCCATCAATTTGATATGAGTATGCTGGGCCTTAACGAGGATGTTCAAGCCTTTGAGTAGGAAAAATTATAATACTGATTAATCCCACATCAGAAGTGGGGAAGATTAAGATTGGCTTATAAAGCTCAGATGAGTGTACTACTATCAACTTTAGCTTAAGCTAGGTTGATATACTAGTTAGCCCATCAGGCCCGGGTCATGACAATTGTACAATCAAGCTTTAGCTGAAACATGTTAAAACACTTATAGGTTCTTGTTTGGTCCACTATTTATAAGGGCTTTATGGGAAAGAGTGCATTTCTAAAAGTGAAATATTACATACATTACTCTAATTGCATGAAACACTAGTATGATTTCTGCTTGTATGCTTCAAGATTAATGAGAAGCCGATATTAGTTATGACAAAATGATTGTGTCTTCTAAAGATGTTTCAGCTCGACTAACTCAAAAACACTAATAATTGGAACAGCCTTCATAACGAAATTTAGCCCATATATTTTATTAGTTAGTTCCTAAGGATCTTATAACTCATATTGTGACTTGTTAAGAAATTAGAAGGCCCATATTTGAGGCTGCTATAGTTTTTTGTCACTAGAAACAGCTTAACCATGAAGAATTTTTGCCCAAGGAAAACATATATGGAAAGGGAGAAACTTTCAACATGAGTAAGATATTTAACAGAAAACCTGGTAGAGTGGATGAAGGACAAAGATAAATTGGTTAAATGTTTTGCTTGCAGAAGTGTGGTACCCAGAGCATATTTTTATGAATCTTTACATGTATTCTGTGGATGTAGGTACGCATCGTACACGTAACATATGTATCTGAAATGTATGTGAAATTGCAAGTGGAAAAAACGTAACTGAGAGGTGCATTACCTTTTGCTCCAATCACACAAATCAGAATCAAGCTAATCTACAGAAATAACCAATATGATGCAACAAACTTTTGTTTGTATGGACAAGTGAAACAACAAGTCACAATTGTCAAAAGCTTTAAGATCTTGGGTTGCTGTAAAATTTTCATGACTGAAGTCCTTTGTCAGAACAGCCTCAGTAGTTCCAAGTTTCCCTAACAAACAACTATTTTGGCGTGCTTCGTCACTGAGGGGTTCTTGAAGATTATCTAGAATCAGATAATGTATTGGTGTTTATTTACAGTTTTGCACACTTTTCCAATCAACAATGAACAAATAATTGATAGCAGATAATTTTTACAAGTAGAGTATATCAAGCACCTTCTTTCTACTTCCCAAACTTGAAAATCAACCGTAACAACAGGTATCTGAGAGAAGACTTACAGTTGGTGCAAGAAGGCCACCAAAGATAATAATTCCCCCAATAAGAGAGAAACATGTAGCATAGTACATCTTTAGATTTGAAGGAGTCTGACACCAATACAGTAATAAAAAAATGCATAGTTAATCATGGAAGTAGATATTGCATAGACCAAAATGTAGCAGAAAGACTAACCAGGGGAGGCAGAAAAGGTATGAAAGATGGAAAGTCAGGAAGTTCATTTTCTCGTCTTTCACCGAAGATTCCTTGTTCGGCACTTTTTATTCTCTGTTGTATTCGTAGTCTGCGAACCTATAGATCAAAAGGAAATGATGAAGAAAACCCTCAAATGAATGAACTGATTAACAATCATAATTTCATAGTATATAGTTGATGTCTCTGTCATTTTGGTTTGAATATCAGCTGGTGCTTCAAGTTTTAACTAATCCATAAGCAGCAAAAAATCCTGACAATAAAGCTTGGGAGATACATAAGGACATGCTAATCTGTATTTTCCACCATGAGAGAATGATGGAGAACCATCTAGGTTTACAAAGACTCTTAGAAGAGTTTATCAATTGGCTGGCCTAGAAACTCTAAGAGTTGTATGGAACAATGAAGTCTTTTAGTCTTTCTAGGTGCTAACCTTGGGTCCCTAATTTTGTATTTAAGTGCACTCTTGCATTAAGTACATTCTTTTTCTTCTCAGCTTTAATAAGTTGTTTTATAGCTATTTAGGTTTCTTAGAAGTTATATTTTGATGTCTAAACAGCATACAAGTTCCCTGGGAATCATTACATTTATTGATTGTACTAAGGTTCCTAACCCCCCTATAAATAGTGTAATTTGTCACTGGATGAAACAGTTCAGGTTTGAATGAAAAACACTTGCATCTTCTATCTTCTAGTCTCTTACTCTCCTCTCTAATCTCACTCCTCTCTTACTCTCTCTTTTCTCTACTTGTCTACTTTGTGCTACATCAAATCAAGAGACATTCATGAAGCTACTCCTGACAGTATGAACCATAAACTATGAAAATCTAATAGGATCTTCCAAATGTGGCACAACTAATTTGACTTCACACATGCTGATTAGATCAACAATGACTCACCTCCTCCATGTGCAAAAAGATCTTATTGCGACGACTTCTAATGTTATCTTGAATTTCTTGCAATTCCATTTTTGCAAAATCCTGAACTGTTTCAGGTCCTTCAATTATACAAAAGCTACATTTGTGAATAAATAGAAAAATAGATTAGCATAAGAAAAATAAGGACATACATGAACTGCAACAGGTTGAAGATTACTCAGATTGAGAGATGCTTTAGGATATGGCTAACAGAGAAGACATATAATGAAAAAGGCATTGTTTTACATTATATGCAGCACTTTATCATATTTAACATCAAGGAGAAATTGAACGCATATAATGACATATGTAGATATGATTGTACAGCATGGGTAATATTAAAAGCACCAAGCTACTAAAACACGTATCAACGTGCTAAAAACTAAGAATTCTGGGCATCCTGCTACACAATCAAAACTAGTGCTCCTACAGAATTTCATCTCATTTAATTTTGGGGAAACTGAATTGACAGACAATAATGAAAGTTCGAGATAGTTAATATTTTCCTTAAGCCACCAGAAGAGGTAGCATGTATATCAAAACTTGCAACCAGAATTATGAGACTACATCTTGTGAGCATGGCAACTCAAGAATAGGTCACCACATTTACTTGAGCATCCTTGTATATGATTGCAACGACGTGGTGCAATATTCTTCAAGAAAGTGATGTCTATTTGTAATGAATATCTTTTTCATCATAATAGAGATGATTGACCATGATAATTCTTCGCCACATGGTTTCTAGAGCATCCTTGTACATCACTGCAACGTCATGTTGCCATATTCTTTAAGAGAAGTGTAAGTCTGTCTGTAATGAATATATTTTTAGTGATAATGGAGATTTTGACATGACAGGTCTTCTACTTCCCATGAATCCATCTTTTCTCCAATTTGTTCCCTAAGAATGTGTTGCCTAACTATACAGTGTAGTTAACCCTGAAAAAAAAAGTATAATAGATTTTGTGCAATCACGTCTTACTTTCTAGGCCTTCTCCGATGGCAAAAAATAATAATAATAATAAATAAATAAATAAAACAGAGGAACTTGACGTTCTCAACAAGCAATTGCACTAAATAAGTAAATATAACAGATTTAGAAGGAATTCATCAAGTACGACAACACCGGAGACACTAGGCTGCACTAGAAGAGAACATGAACTTCAAATCATTCAGCAAACAACACATACCGCCACATCTTTAGAAACCAAACAGGCTTTCCTCGGCTTCTCATGCTCATCACACCGGATTTACCAATAACCCAACCAAGTCGATGCAAGTCGCGCCAACAATCTCAGCCCAACCTAAACTCAATTAGACAAAGATTCGAAAATAGTACCCGGAGGGGTTTTTCTCGGCGGAATCACTAGCGGCGGCCGTGTCGACCGAGGATGAAGAAGAGGAAGCGGCAGCGTCCGCGTCCCTCGCAGCCATCGGCCTCCATTTCAAGATCGCCGGCGGCTGCGGCCTTCCGATCCTCGTAGCGGGAGTAAATCTCCAGCTCGGATGGCGAGGGATGGGGGGCAGAGTCAGTATTCGACCCGAGCACAGCATCTCTCTTGGCCTCGTTTTGTGTGTTTCTGTACCTCCTCCTCCTTTTGGGGTTCTAATTCTTGTTGGCAAGAGGGTTAAAATAAGACCAAGAATTCGATCTAATCATCTCCTCTATCTTCTCGGAGAGTCGGTGAGGTGTGGAAGCGAGAAGTGGCGACACGGAGCAAAATGTGGTGGAACAAAACTACAATATTCTCCTCCTCTATAATTAATTACTTGTATCCGAATTTGCTCCAATAAATTAAATTAAATTTAACTTACTTATAATTATAACATAACCCATAGAGAATATGGGAAGAGGGGAGATAAAAGAGAGGTCAAGAAAACTCGATTTTAAATTTCTTAAATTTAAATTAAAAATATTACTATTTACGTATATATGTATGTATGTATGTATGTATATAACGTTAAATAATTGGAACATTATATTTTTATTATTATTATTATTATTATTATTATTATTGTTCGATATATTCATATAAAACGAAAAAATGGTAAATATTTTTAGTATTATAAAGTTGACGCTCTATCTAATACTAGTATCTATAGATTGGATGGTCCCTTTTAACTACGTTCAATATTGAAATATGCAATAAAAGGGAAAAAAAATCTTGTGAGAATAAGAAAAATAGATTGAGATAAAATAATGGAAGAGAACAAATATATTATATTTTCATTGTTATTTTTATACCAAACTAATTTGGAATGTGTAATTGTTTATTGGGCAGGTATTTATAAAATATTTAAAATGTAAATATTTGAAAGAGTATATATATTATTTATTTATTTATTTTTACGGATGATTAAGAAAAACTCTTTTTTGAAGTGTAAAAGGAATATGTTGTTAATATTTGACGTGTATGATTATTTGACGTGTCATCGAGATGGAAGCATTAAACTTCTAAGGTATCTCTACATGAAGATTGAGATCGAAAAAGATTTTTCAATGATCAGAGAGCTTCTAACCACCTGCTTAAATCTAACTCACTGGATTGGTCATTTGTACTCCACCAACTGAAGCTTTTAATTTTGATTATGTTTGAAATATTATCTCGTGTATACGACCGGCACATTATAATATTAGCTTCTTGATTTGTAGCAAGATTTTTTATGTGAACATGTATCTTGATATATGTAAACAATGGAACTAAAATACACCTATCAACATTGTAATTCTCACAATATTAACTTCAATCATGTTGATATTTTATGTAATAAAAGAATTATAAAAATTATCTTATGACCTCTTTATATGATTTTTTCAATTATTTTAATTGGATAGAATTTTGATGAATGTATGCCATGTTACACCTACTGATTGTGTATATTTCCAACCAATATATCCATGCACATCCCTACCTTTACAAAAAGGAATTGTTAGGCAGACTGTTTTATGAGTGAGGCATCGACAAGTACTCAAAATTACACATGATGTGCTGCTTGTAAAATCATCTACTGGGAAATAATCCATTTCCTTTCACCATGTTGAATATGGTCTACTATATAGACACAAATGTAATATGTCTAGAAATAGTAGGACTGCTATTCACTGCTAGTTTTAGGGTCCGTCTACCCTCTTTGTGGTGGCTGATTTGTACAGGCTCATGAACTTGGCTATAAATTCTGTCAAGAAACAACAAATTTGATTAGGTCATGCAAAATATCTTAAAATTGGTAAGCACTAGGGCAACAGAACCATGTATACCTTCGATTATTTAATATACTAATAAAATAAAAGAAAACTGGTACCTTCGATCCTCATAAAATAGCGTACGTTCCTTTTCAAGTCACTTGGTTCAGGATGTTCCAACGATGTATGCTTGATGGCATCCAAGAAGCTCATGTTATCCCACTGAATAACAGCAAGAGACTTAAAATCATATTATGCATTCCAAGAAAAGGCAAACACAAGAATCATCTTGGTTCCCAAAGCAAGTAACTATGCTTACATTTTTATATTCCCGATACAAGTCGTCTATCTTGGCTTGGAGTTGATCATCCAAATGCTTCTTGAGTTCAACTATAAGTGTCTGCAACAACAATGAGACCGATAGTATTTAGATGATTGAATTGTCAATTTTGTCAGATAAGAAAATATTGCTGTTGATTACTGAAGCATCCAAACAAACCATGTTGAGGAAAAAGAAAAATCATACAGTAAATATAAAATCTGGCGATACATCATACTCGATAAGATTCTTAAGCTTTCCACGGATTATATACAATCTGTCCAACAAAATGCACCATCAATTTCCTCTGCATACTCCAAGGCCAAAATTCTCAACAACAAGCATCAGTTCTCAGAGTTCTAAAAAGAAAGAACACGGATGCTCCGACAAACAACAAGTGCTTACTGTTTAGGGCTTTGCTCGTCAACAATACTTTTGGCTATGCTAGCTATATCATCTTCCCATCCAGTTAGGATATCCTGGTTTTCTTTGAGAGAATAACTGTGATTAAGCAGACAGATTAAAATATATAAATGGTTAATTTATAATAACTAGAAAAGCTTGCTTATTTTAGAAGGAAAAACAACTCCAATAAAGAAAATTTAATTTGCTAGCGAAATAGAACTAAACGAAATATCAGGTCACTTAGTACTTACAGAGGTGATGTATGCATGAATGTCAATAGTTTTATTCGTTATTTCCTTAAAAAAGGAAGGAAAAAAGATTTAATATTCCTATACAATTGCAAGAGAAGCAAAAAGTTCAATTGCTATATGAGTAGAAGGTGAACAACTAAACAACTCAGCTTCCATAATGAATCCCAAATATTGTATAACTTTTCTATTCAATTTTCTGTTACAAGTCTCAATTAGACCAAAATTGATCCTTAATCTATTTCATTGAAATTTTCATGTTCTTTTTTGTATTCTTCATGTCGCATTTAGAAATCAGCTACTTAACTGCAATATCACATAAGGTTCAGTTGCAAATATCTTACAACTCCATCATGCTAAGAGGATTAAGAATTATGAAACAAGTATGATCTTAAACTTGACGAATATAGAATTATACTATAAAGAGGCTACAACTGCTTATATACAATCTGGAAATGCAAACAAACAGCTACTTGTATACTTTGAGTTCCAAGATGCTTCAAAAGAACGTATTGCTTGTCGAAGATTATGCTTTGAGTTCTCAGCAAATCTCTTGGCCATGTGGTGTGGCAAATCTATGGATTCTTGCCTTGCAATAAACTCAAGAACTTCAATAATCTGAAAAGAGGTCATTAATTTCATTGTCTATAACATTTGTAATTAAACAAAACATTGATCACCTCTTCTAATGAGAAGATAGATGCAACAGGTAACCTCATTGTCTGATGGTGGTTGAAGCTTTATGATCTTGCAAATAGGTTTGATGATCTGAAGCTTTGAGGTATCTGAACAGCAGAAAAAAATCTTATTGCAACCCTTGTACTTTTCCATGAGCCAACAGACATAATGTTGAGCATCTGTTGAAAGCTTGTCAGCCTCATGGAGAACCACCACTGCAGGACTAAAGAAATCTTAGAGAATAGGCATGACATGGAAACCAAAAAAATGGCTAATATCACCTATAAGAAAATACTATCACTTTACATTTTAAATAGAGAATGCCGATCCCAATTCAAACCTAATAAGTGATTATACATCAGATATTCAGGATTTAGAGATGATATGTACCTCTGACATTTGTATGATCACAGTTGTCGTATCTATCTGATGGTATATATGATTCATGTATCAAAGACATTATGACATGTTTCTCGTACCCATGCAAATCAGATAGGTTGACCTCAACATGTTGGGAAGATCTCCTCCTGATAACTTCAATATTTGCAATGAATTCTCCCTAGAGATGAAATCCACAATTACTTCTCATGCCAAACTCTGCCTCTAAGAGTTCTATAGTCTGTGATTCTTAAAACAGGAATCTCTCCAATATGGTCTTTGAATTTATCATAATTGGTGAATATGCTTTGGTCATGAAAAAAGCAACAGGGTAATGTAAAAAAAAAAAAAGGTACCTTCAGCTCAAACTTTTTCAGCTCGGTTTTCATCTGCAAAAAGGAATTGTCCAATTTTATACAGAAGATAAAAAAATGACATGATTGCTGTTAAGGAAATGATCTTTACCTTTAAGTTCTCAGGTCCAAAGGCATCTCTCAATGTTGCTAAAACCATAGTTTTCTTCCCGACCCCTGGAGGGCCTTCAAATATTAAATGGCTGAATTGGTCTGCATTAACCTACAAAATAAAACACAAAAAAAAGGAATTTTTTATATCTAATTGAAGTTATGTTAAAAGTAAAAAAAAAGAAGTATAAACGTGGCTTGATATGCACCTAGAGCTTAGGAACTTGAGGATCAGTTTAGGTTACACTTTGGTTAGCACAAGTCTATTTCAAAGGCAGGAAAAAGAAATTATTATGCAACAAGATTATAAGACTAATTTCATAGGGATCGATCAATTTCTATTTTTTGTCTCTGTTTATAAACTGAAGATGAAAATGACGGTATAACGTCACTATAACCTACTACAATGACATTGACATCTTTCCCTGGTTTTGATCCCACCTCTGTGTCTCAGGAACAAGGTGGATTCAGGCGATGAAGAATTGTTAAGAGTAGCTGGGCCTTCTCCTGTTATTATAGGTTTGTTATATGATACAACAACAAATAGAACAAATCGTACCATCTGGCGGAGCTCCATAGCCTGGTCTCTGTTACAGATGAACTCGTTTAGAGCACTTGGTCGGTACTTGTTTGCCCAAACATATGCCTTCTCCTCAAAAACCCCAGTGCTCACCGCAGCCTTCGAATTGGTGGTGCTGCCCTTCTTCTCTACGGCGGCGATGATTGCATCAGCAGCAGCCGGCGCCGTAACAGCGACAGGTGATAGGTGGACCGGAACCGGTTCGCTCTCCCTCGAGGGCTTGCTCGTCGGAGAGGTAGAGGTAATCTCCCCCCTCGATCCACCCTCCTCACCACGAGTCGAGGACTGGGAAATCTGAGACCCACCAGGATGACCCGCGGGAGGGGACCCGAGCGACGACGTGGCCGTGGCGGCGCCGTCCGGAAGGGTCTTGCGGCGGCCAGGGCTGAAACCGAGGCTCGGGAGGAAGGGACGGAGAAGGCCCTGGCTATGGCGGAGGGGTTCCTCGGCAAGGAAGGAAGAGTGAGCGGCGGAGGAATCGGGTGCCGTAGATCCTGCGTCGTCAGAGGTAGAGACAGCGGGTTCGGAGGAGGAACGGCGGAAGGAAGCGAAGGAGCCCTTCATAGTGGCGATGGCGTTGAAGAGAAGAGTAGAGGAGGAGGAGGCGCCGTCAAACGGCATCGCTGTTGGGTCGGGGGAGGCGGGAGGGGGCTTTTGAAGGCGAGGGGATTTGCTTCTCCCTCGAACAATTACCACCTATTCTACCCGCCATAGACCACCCGCCTCATTTGCCGTTGGTGACCGGGGAAGAAAGGTGGAGTCGTGACGGAGCCCACCGACTTTCCGGAGGTAAATGTGGGTAGGCTTACGTAATAGTGTGGGTTTCTATTTTGGCGTGACGCGAGATGATCAAGAGGAGGTGGCGAAGAGCACGATGTTCGCTTGACGCGAGATACGAGATGAACCAGGTGGCTGATCCGCCAGGGCCGTCTTGAACTGGTATCCTCTAATTGTCGCATCCCAGCCGTCTGATTTTGTCGGCCCCGCTTGAACTTCTCCGGAGCCCATATCCAACTGGACACATGAACGGTTGAGATTGTCCTTGGAAGTTTCAAGTATTGAACAGGATCCTACTTCGAAGATACGACGACGTTTGCAGCTTCCGCGTCGTATATGTATAGACATATTTCTCCCAAGTTAGAAATTATTATATTTATCTTTTTAAAATCGATCTCCTAAATTTATTATTATTTGATTATTTAAACAATAGAGATTATTTAAAATCTAATATCACAAAGAAACTTAATGTTCATTATAAAATATAATATCTTAAGTTATTCGAATATATTTTATATTTTAAATTCAAACTAATAATTGATAATCACAATTAATATTGATTAATGTATACATACATAGTATATTATATTAAAATATACATTGAAAGTGACCATAGCCCGTTTGTCCTTAAAACGAGATATCTCCATTCTTACCTATTGGGATATTCTTGTTTTTTTTTACTTTAAATAATATAATGGGCATGTCGTTGTCATCATCATAGTTTATTAAAACGTTAAGGTAATCTTGTGATCAATTGATTGATCGAGTTATCAATAATAAATTTTTTTTTTTTCCAGTCCAACCTATGCATTGGTGTTAGTTGAACAAATTCTTATTCAATTTTGTACCTGCAATACCAACTTAAATCATGATATCAAGACTCATGAATCATGCAAGAACCTCTGCTCCAAGTCAATTTTATAACTTAACCCAAAATATTAATAATGGAAGGTATTTTTTAATTAATGATCTATGATTAGCTTCGTACATTAAAAAAATATATATAATAATAATTCTTGGTGCAATATCGATCATTTCGGCTCGATGCCTAAACTCATAGCATAAAATCCATATTTTGGTACGTTAATCAATCCTTCGGTCCGACGTCCAATCTCTGACATGATGTTTTCCGATCCAACGTTTGATTCTCCTGGTTCAATTATTTGTCTTTCGATGGTTCAAGTCTACGATCGAAGTTTCTCTTGTGTCGCTTATCTCAAATGCTTATTAGTCCATAAACTCATCAATTGATTTTGTCATCAAAATAAGGGATTCAACGATTCTTTCTTTTTGCTAATGACTAAAGGGAAGGTTTATCTAAATGTATCATGATCTATGTTAGATTTTTCTCTTCACTTCTCAATGTTCACGATTTAAGATTTATTTTGTGACTCGCTTGTATTCATGACTTAGTAACTTTTGCTTTTGTTGATGATAAGGAGAAATAATGGCTCATCTCTTGCGTATGTGCTGAGCAAAAAGAATTATGATATTTTTATAATGTTTCTTTGATACGTTTATAACTTTTATTCGACCTATGTATTATATCTTGATAATAATTAAATATTATTTTATAAAAATTAAAATAACTGAATGTTTAGGCTTCAAATGATAATCTCAATAAGATCAAATTTATTTTAATTTAAATTCAAAATTAGCATTGAAAGGATATATGCTTTCTATTTTGGAGTTCAACTTCATCATAATTTTTAAAAAATAACATATAGATATGAAAAGTCTTAGTCATCATTATCATTATAAAGGAAATTATTGAATCTCAAATTTTGATGATGAAATTAATTATTAAATTAATATGTTTTTGAGATAAATAATGTAGAAAATACTTCGATTATACACTTAGACTACCAAAGGGAAAAATATCGAGCCGTAGGATTGGTCAATATACTAAAGAACGAAATTCGTACTAAAAATTCAAACATTATGTCAAAATGAATATATATCATGTTGAAAGATCATATATCACGTTGAAGATGATATATCGAAGGAGTAAGCAATTTACTAGGGATAACATGATGTGTCGGAGGTTTGGTCAAAGTATCGTAAGATTGAAAAATATGTCGAAAGTTTTGATGTTGTGTTCGATAAAATTGTTCAGTCGAGATTGAAGTATTCTACAGTGAATTTGAGCCATTATCGAGCCATATTAAAGCTCAAGCTTGTAACAGCCTTTGGGCTTAGGCTTGGATCGCAATTAGGCCCATTAGAAGGCTAAACACATAGCTTAAAGGTGGCTTGGGCGACAACACAAAAGGTGTTGTTAACCATATGGACAATAGTATCATTTAGATTTTGATGATACGATTGCGAAAGTCTTATATCGTATTGGATTTTAATTGCTTTCGATAGTAGTATTGGTGTTAGTACAAGTACAATTCAAATCATGAAAATGTTAAGAATTTAAATTTTAATTTCATTCTTGAAGCTTTTTGGGTCTATAAATATCCCACTTCCGTTTAGCTAATGAAGCATTAATTCTTGATGTTTCAAAGTATTTTAAGCACTCATTTAAAGCATCAATTTGATTGTAATACTAAAGTGTAAGAGATGAGAGATCTTCTCTCCTTCGCCTTGAAAAAGAGAAAATTGTAAGGAATCATTGACCTTTACTCATTAGAAAAAAAAAAAAAATCGTTAATGACAGTTGAAAGTTTATAGAAAAATGGAATAAAAAAAGTGAACGCAGATGGAAAAAATTGAACGACTATAAAATTAATTGATCTCTTTTTACTCATAACTCAATCCATATGATCGAGTATGATTTAGCTTTACAATCCACCCCAAACTAAAAACCGAGTGCAAGAGGAGGTCGTAAAGAGGAAAAGGAAGAGCCTTCCCCACCTATTATTCACCTCCTCCCCCTTTTCCTTCGCTCATCATTAATTTGATTGCCGTTGGATTGTACAGATTCCAAACTCCACACCCATCTCACCCTGTAAGTTCTCCAATTTATTTTTTCCCTTCCCATTCTTGACACACACACACACACACACACACACACACACACACACACTCCAGCTT